TGAATGATAATCTTATGATATAATCAGTCTTAAGTACCAAAGTATTAAATAATTAGATTGTGTTACTAGAGATCTTTCATAAATACATATTACATAATTCTGAATCTATTCTTGTTGAACGTAGAGATAATATAATATTTACATATGAATTATGATTCAAAATGATGTATAATATAAATCAGGTCATGATGTACAATCAGAAATCATATAAATTACATTTTCCTTTTAGATTATATGTATACTCCTTTTTCAATCAAAATTTTACTTGTGCTGTAAAGTATAAGATAATAAATTTTAGATTCCCCTTAAAACTCTTTTTGTTATAAATCTTATGTAAATAATAAATCTTAGAATAAGAGAGGTAACATTAATAATATTGAATTGGGGAAAAAGTTCTTTTACATATATATGGACCCTTCCCCAATCCATTTGTTGTGAAATTTTTATTGCAGTTGTATTATTTGATAGATCAAAGTTTCAACTTTAAGAATCTCTTTTTTTAATTGCGGTATAATGATTTTTAACGAAGCTATGAGCAATCAAAATCAGATCAATACTCTTATACTTAACTCACGAATAACTCAGGAACAAAAAATATAGTAACCTTTCAGAAGTAGGGATTTCAAGTTTTAAAACTCTTTTTGTAAAATTAAGTTGCTTTCATTTTTAACAAAAAAAAATGTAAATTACATATTTAAAAAGACTTTTTCCCCAACCCAATTACAAATAGATAATTTTTTATACACGCATTTGCGTTTATTAGAATTCGAAGAAAAAACTGTTGCCTACTGATTCGAGCAAGCACAACGTCAAGAACATTCAGAAGACTCAACGGGTCAATTCGGCCAATGGCACTCCCCGTTTTGTTATACGCTGCACCGTGTTGCACATTCCGTCGACGTCGTCGTCCACACCACGTCTCCCCTTCATGGTATTCGAACGCATGCGTGCGTGTGCGTCGTCTTGGGGGCCCTGTCGGGGGGATAAGAGTGCGTGCCTCCCGACAATAATAACCATTAAGGCGTGAGAGAATGCGGGGGCTGACGTCACCCATTCAACAATCATGTATACCCATCGAACGCTGTCAAATGCAGCCATCGCGAATTTACTCTACGTTAACACGATGACTTTCCTCCTCCTCGACATGTATAACTTGATTGTCGTCGTCCTTGGAAGAATCAGTGAAAACGATATCGATATTTTCTACCGGGAAAATAAGTGACGCGTTTCAATATTTCATATCACTTGCTCGTAAAAGCTTTCAAAGAAAGACTCCGAACGTTATAAACGGTACCTCTATAAAATAAAGTAGCTAAAATAAGACACGCTTTTTTATTCTGTATCTTATATTTATCCTATCGTGTGTAATTGTCGTAAATAGTCATTGGATTTCAACAAAGAAACTTTGCTCTAAGAACCTCGGAACGTGGTCTTCGACATGCTCGCGGAATGTTGGCACAGACTTGCCAAGCCGACTTCCGGGGTGAAGCAGAGCAGTAGCTCTTTTAAGTACAATGCCTCTCTTGTGGAATCTGAACTTGTGTCAAGAATTTCGTATCTTCCACCCTCTATGTTCGGTGCCGCTTTCCCACGAAAGGGAAGTGAGACTTACCGGAACAAACAAAGACATGGTTAGCCAACGCGAGGGGAAACGACGCGATCGATAAAAGAAACTCCGAGATCGTTAAGACGTTTCCTTTAGCGCCCCATGTGCTAGCTACACCAGACTCTGTCTTTCTTGATAATCGACGAATAATTTCGAAATATATACGAGATTTTTCTGATTGTTTGCAAGGCGACAAAAAATCTTATTAAAATATATTTATATATCTATAGAAATATTGAAATAAGAAAAAATAGGTATTTATCAAAATTCTTATTAGTTTTTATCTATTAATCTCAAAAAATAAAAGTCTCTTTAAGAGCCAAACACAAGATAAACGTGTATAAATAATTTTATTTAATTAATACAATAATTATAGACATTTATGTCAATTTCAATATAATTTAAAATACAAATATGATAAATATTTATCATATAAATAAAAATTGCAAGTTTAAATGTAATAAAGTTTCTGCTACAAGTTGCTTCTAAGTTGTAAGTTTGAATGGGTGTGTTCATTATAATTTTTAAATTTTTTTTAAATGACAAACGCCTGGACTAACTGTCTAGTGAACTCGTCGGATTCCATGCTCGAGATCGTATGAATTTATCTGTTAATTTATATTTATTCCTTCTCTCTTCAAACAAATGTATCTTCATTTGATATTAAACTCGAACTTGCGGGAGATTTCGTTGCATCTTGTAACTTTAAGGTTCTTGTTTGTATCTATTTTACGTGGAATCCGAATGGCTCCAGCTGCCCGCGGGAATCTTGTAAACGGAAGTTAACTTCGAGTTACGATCCAATGAACCCGCTCGATTCTCCTCCTCCTCGTCGACGCGAAGAGGAGTTATTTCTGACGCTCACACCCCGCACGAAACCTCAGATTGCTCGTATCGCTGTAACGCTAACCGCAGATGCACCCTGACATTTTCGCGACGCGAGGAATGTTTTCCGCGCTTCTCGATGTCAATAATTTACGGTTACACCGTTGATTTGTGAGGGCGAAACCCGACAGACTGTCTGCGCTCAACTCCGTCTCGTTTGTTGCTGGAACGTACGTGAGGACATATCGCGGCGGGATGACGTGTCTCGTAGAAGCAACGTGACCAAAGTTTACCCCGTCCTTTTTTCGGGCATGCTGTCATGATATGACATCAGCAACGTGAAAAAGCTTGCCCACGATGCAAAATGGATTTGCGGTTTTCTCACATCCACTATTCCTCGCGGATCACGCGGCATTACTCAAACGGATGGAAATGCGGATGAGACCGGCTATGGTAAACACAGGGGCTTTTCTGTTTCGCGATTCGATGAGTCATTGCATTTCTACGTTGTGATTTATGATAAAAAATCTATACGAATGCTTGCCAGAATTGCTTATCACATTTTTCACCGGCTGATCTTTAAATTGAAAGATTTATTTTTGACAAAATTATCACAGGACACATTTCTCTTTTTAATTAAAAACGTTCTTAAATAAGATCTTATCTTTTATGTTAATTATTTTTTATATTAATTCCAGTTGCTATATTACTTTAATCGAGAGAAAAGGAGAAGGATATAAGTTTCGTAAAGTTTTTCATGATTTTTTAATGCAATTTTGTGATTTCCTATGAAGGCATATTGCAAAGTAATAAACTTAATCTCTCACAGGAAATAAGAAATGGAAGATAAATTAGAGGGCTAGGTTAAAAACGCAAATCTTAGCGGGTCCATCAATGGCAAACCACACCTTAATGTATTTCGTGTACCTGATCAATTTAAATCATTGTGCCGTTCCTTCGATCAATATTCTCAATCTTACCTTTCAATTAAGGTCGACAACATTCCAGTATTCTACTTCAAATTTAAGAAACATTTTAGAACTACGATTAGCTGCTAAAATTAACGTATAACAATTTTCAGTTACAAGAATTTCAAAAAATTTATATTTCAATTTGTATCGTAACTAATATATTTTTCGTATATTTATATTAGAGATAAAATATACGATTTTCTGTATTATTTTATTAAGATAGAAGGAATGCATTCATGATATATGTATATACAACGCAATGAATAGAGAGAATTAATTATTATTTTACGAATGACACCAGTGTGAGATCTTTTTTTTGAAAATAAAGTAGGTAGACACATCGCAAGTGACATACATATTCGTTGATGCGCACCGCAAAGTGAATATAAACTATATGAACGCAATGTTCCACGACATTAGACCGACTGAAAGAGAGTGCGTGGATGTCCATGGAGCTACGCATAGATTGAGCAATGGGACATCGTGGCGCCTATTCACGTATAGACATAGTCTTCGCTAAGGGGATCCGGGGTGGATTTATGGGGATGGGAGCTACAATCTAACTGGAGCACAGGGGTGCTGGCATGTATATAGTAGTCGGCCATTAATCTAGATTCATGGACTTCTTCCCGTGTAATCATTGCACATCTTTCATATTCATTTTTCCGAGATAACATATGCAACTATTTTTCATATCAAAGTACAGAGAGATATAAATATGTACAATATAAATATTTCAAGATTTTTGTATAAAATGCTTGAAAGTTTTATTATTAAATGCAGTTTCCATTGCAGCGTACACATTATTGGAGTCAGGTTTAATCCATTTTTTCCTCGTGCATAAGGTGTGGTTTATATCAGTTAAAATCGAATAATGTCTTGATATAGAAACATCATGACCTGTAAAAAAACGAGGTAAACTGATAGCGAACACGCAAAGAGCTTTCTTCGGCCGGTTTCACAATTTTTGCTTCGCATCTCTGAAAAATTGACAAATCATTGCTGAAAAGGGATGCTACTGAGGGAAATGTTATTGGAAAACCTTGTTTGCTTGTGCCGCGCTTATGCTCCATTCTTCTTAAAATTGAGCTCGCTCAGTCGTGTATCAGAAATCTAATTTCAATCGGCGCACTATATTCGTCGTGTCCATTTCGGATACGATATGGATTGCGGTTTCGATGGACAATCCGATCGTCAGCGAACGAGTTATAGGGCAACTACCAACATTTGCGGTTCAGCGAATTACCGGTTTTTGGCGATCGAATTGTCGCTCCGGAAAAGCAGGATTAATTTCGCGTTAATGCTCCTAGTACCTCTTTGTATAGCCACACAAGAAAGAGAGAGAGAAAGATTCTACAAAATTTTTCTATCATTACTGACATAATTTTATAGAAAATGCTTTATTATATCAACAAACAGTGATGATAGTTTTTCCAAGATTAAATTTTATCGATAAAATTTCTTCTTAGAGTTAATCTTATTATATTTTAAAATTACGAAACTTACTCAAATAATTCAATAAAAGTTTATTAAATTAGAAGTTACGATTTTCTGTATTTGAAGGCCACTTAAGGTAATATTGTGTTAATTAATTACAGGCTTATGTAAACCGACTAAGAGTACGGAGGACTTGAATTACGAGGATGATACCCCTTTAGAGGATGAAAATGAGGAAGATGAAGATGAAGACACTGATAATACCGGCATCGTTGAGGTGCCTCCGCAAATCTTATCACGTCCAGAAAGTATTCGCGTAAAAGTTGGAGACACCATTACAATGCCTTGTCAAGTAATCCATACAGGTTTGTAAAACAACAGTAGTCTATCTTATTTACTAATGAGCATGACAATATGTTTTAAAAGCGACTCTCTATATATCTTTCCAAAATTATCTTGTAACATTAAAAGTTGTTTAGTACTTCGTTAGACTTTTTTATTTAACATGAGAAATATTTATATAGGAAGAAATGAAATAAAATAAAGAATTTTAATTAATTTTCTCTGTATGCAGTTTATTATCTCCCGTTTCTTAATAAATTTATTACGGATTATTTCAGATAATTATGTGGTCGCGTGGTTGAAGGACGATAAGTATCTGTACTTCGAATCGCAGACGTACACAGAGGACGACAAGAGAATCGTAAGATTGCCGAATAACAGCTTGGTGATCTACAATGCGACGGTCGAGGATAGCTCCGACAATTACAAATGCAGTATTCTGCGGAATCCTGACCCCATAGATTTGACTCATCGTTTGCGGGTTGATGAAAATCCGCGTCAAGAATCTGCGCCGCCGCAGCACTCGCTTAAAGGGATCATACGCGTGAAGCCCTCGAAGAAGGTCGAAGTGAAGCAGGGCCATAGTATCACGCTCGGTTGCGAGACCGACATACAGCCGCCGCCCGAGATCAAATGGTTCATTGAGGTGAAACGTCATTAAAAATATCATTGATAACTCTAATGTCATCGCTCTTATTCTCTCTCTAAAACGCTGCTTTATCGCTGTAAAAGTATCACAATAATCGTAATAATTATAGACGCTTACCCAGCAAACACCAATTAATTTACATGTAACGTACATGTTATATAGTTATAATTTCCCACTCAACAATATAAATGTAATGTAACACATGTGTTATATAGTACAATTATATTATTGAGTGAGATATTACAACTAATATGTATAGGTATGTTATATGTGTAACTTGGTGTTTGCTGGGGGACAAGGTTTTAATAAGAAAGATAAAGCTGATTCCGTTTTTTTTTGTTTTAGAACAAGAAGGTGGACGGTTACGATCCTGACGTGATCCTGGATGGAAATTACATCACGATACAGAAAGTGAATGAGTCTCATAGTGGCCTGTATCAATGCCTCGCTGAGGATGGTTCGGAAATGCCAGCGATGGAAGCGATCAACGTCATTGTAAATTGTAAGTTAATAATTAATTGTGCATTCTTATTTGGCCGGTATGACTTTCAATCTGTTTTGCATAAGCATATTGATGTTAGCGATTAACACGTTCCGCTTTCGTGGCAGACAAACCTAAGATCGAGGTAGAGAAAAACATAGTCTACAGCGGTGCGAGTATAGAATCGGAAATTACATGCATCGTGAGCGCTCATCCTGTGGAACTCGTAACGTGGTATAAAGATGACAAAAAACTTATACAAAAGAAAGGATCGATGATGTATCATAAGGCAATACCGAAGAGTAATAAGACTAAGCACATTTTAAAGATCCTGCACACTTCAGCACGAGATTTTGGCGAGTACAAGTGTCGGGCAGAGAATGCCTTTGGCCATGACATTAAATCTGTCATCTTAACAGGTATGATATATTGTTATATAAAATATATGTATATTTATCCCAAACAGCATGCAATATTTATAAAAATTTACAAAAATATTCGTGAGGATATATATTTAATACATATACAATTATATAAAAAGAATAATTTATCAGAAAAATATTTAAATGATTTTGTTTAACTTTTGTAAATTTTTATAGAATGTAAATAGGTAAACAGATTTTTATTTACAAAATATATTTTAGGTGTACCTTCGCAAGCAAAAATATATGGTGCCAAAATGACTGAGGATGATGCAGGAATTATTCTGCAGTGGCGTTTGGAGAGTTATTCACCGATCGACGAATATAAGGTAAATTTATACCAAAAATACATATTGTTCTTATTAAAACTTATGCAGTAAAAAATAAAATGTAAAATCTAATACAATTTTTTACTTACAGTTACAATATCGTCGTAAGGGTGATCAGAAATGGATCTTCATCGAGCCTGAAGTCAAAGACGGTAAAGGAAATCAATTTTCCGTAGAATATCCAATTCTAGGTCTTCAGCCTGGATCCTACGAGGCGATCCTAAAGGCTAGAAATGCATTTGGATGGTCTTTGGACTCAGAACCGCATACATTTTCTGGTGGTGCGTATATTAATCTTATATGAATTCAGATTCATATACTATACATATACATCTTATATCTATATTTTTTGCGCATTTAAAAATATTTTCGTGATTGTGAATTATTTTATTATAAATAAACGTTAAATCAAATAAAATATTGTCGTCTATAAGAAAGACCAATTAATCAATTGTATAGTGATTTATAATTTATTAAATTAATTAGATATATGTTAAACAATTTAAAATATTAACCATATAAATAATATAACAGATTACAAATATTATTATTATTATTATTCTTATTTCCTTTTTAGATTATCCACCTGATTTAGCATTAAAAGGTATAAATACAATTTTTTTAAACAGAACATTCATTATTTTAAATAATCTTTCTTTTTATCGTCATTTTTTAATTTCCTATATTTATTTATAGAAAATTCGGCAACTGTGCGATCTCCTGGAACGTTTTTAGCATTGATCCTAGTCGTTTTATCTTGTGCCTTCACAAGTCTGAAACTCTTTACTTAAATCTCTAAAGTATGTAGGTAAGTACGTATGATGATGTAAATCTATGAAGAAACGATAAAAGCTTATGACACATTTCATTAAGTGACTTAAATGATTTACTTATGACGCAGGTAATTTGCTGCAGCCAAAGCAACACCAGCAAACGCTATGGTGGATTTATTAGTATAGGAACACTTAGGGGAGATATAGCGCTTGATAGCGCACTTACATATTTTTAGTGCAAATTTCCCTTCCATATCAGGATATATTTTATGTACATATATATTTAATAAAATATATTTTCAAACATACGGGCATTATTGAGACACATTAATATACATCTCACATAGTCAAAATTTCGTGATCAATATTAATTTACAACTCACCTAGGTGTTCCATTAAGACGCATTGTAAAGGAAAAAAATAAGCATTTTAATTGTACCGTAAAATCATGAATAATTATTAAGGGATATTGTACTTTAAATATATATATAATTTATATATATATAGTTATCATACACACACACATATATATGAATACGTATGTACACACATATATCCATGTATACGTGTGTATGTGTATACACATAATATAGTATTCACTATACATGCGTAAGCTCACAGAGACACACAATCATATTATTATAATTTATTTTTGTATGCTTAAGATTATTAGAAACGTGTTCAAAGAAGTCGCTTGGTGCCATGTACACGGATCTATTACTTCCGAAAAATCATTGTATAGAATCTGATCTGTTGTCCACAGTGCACATGTGGAAAGACATGTACCTAAAATAATATAGTAAAAGAGAAGTAAATACTATAGAAACGTATATACTATTGCGATAATACGTGTATAACCGAGTCGACAAAGAGCAAAGTTGAAAGCATTCATACTGAGATTATCGTTCATACAAGAATTATTCATTAACATATATTACGTCCACATTCTCGTATGTTTGCTCCCAACAAAAGCAAATCTTTCTTTTTTATTTACTCCTATGTTCTCGATATGTACAATGTGATGCGCGAGTAACGAATGTGATTGGAGCGAGTATGAGAGAGAATGACGTTCTATTTAGTGTTTTCCATAATAGTTTGCTAGCTTTTAGCGCTGATACGTTGTTATATTGATTTATAATTAATGTTATATGCAGTACTATAAGTAACTATAATTGTATAAGAAACTGCCCATTTTAGAAACGGCCGGAGTGCTTGTTCAAGATATGAATAACGTAAAGAAAAACAGCCATATTCTTTCTAAAATATATAAAATATTATTCATACAAAAATAATAAGTTTGTGTATAATTTTAATATTCTTAGACAAAGCAACTTGTATTTTTAAATCGTATATAAACGTTGTATTTAAAAAAATCATAAATATTAATTATTTATGTATTTTCTAATAACAACAAAATTTTAGTCATAAAAGTTATAAATGCTTATTAAAGCACAATTTTATATACTATACTTATTTTATTCTATCATATATAATTTCATTATGTGTTACTTTAAAGTTCTTTATAACCATATGATTTTTCTCAACATATATGATTTATTTTTAGGAACGAAAATGGCTATGGGAAAGTTGCAACATATAAAAATTAAATCTTTGTTATCATCAGTCTATTTCATTATTAATTATTAAAAGTTTTGTAAATTTAGTAAATTTGATAAAACAACGAAACTTATTTATATAAATTAATCAGGTTTGAAATTGTAAAAATACACAATGTACGTATTTTAGTTACACAATTTTATCTTATATGTGTAGACTTGAACGTTTATTTTAAAACATGTCGACAATATATATAAGAAAGTTGTTAGTCAAAATGCTTATAAAATATATTAATACACAACACACCTGATGTGCATATGAATATAGCTTCTTGTTGCCTTAATCAATGTAACATGTACAATCAAGAAAACCGAAAGATATATTAATTCGTAAGATTATACCTGCAGATACATAATAAACAAAGTAAATAAAAACATATTGCGAAATTTTATTATAAATTATTAATACAATCCTTGGAAGAATAGTGTCAAAAGTGTAAAAATGTTTATACTATTATAAACTATTTATCGTATATTTATTATTAGATATATTTTATTTTAAATTGTACAACACGATAATATATATATTTGATTTATTTCACATCTATAAGATAAAATTCATGTTAAATTAATTAAAATACGATTTTATTTCATTTGTACTTGGTTCTCAATTATAATTTACATAATTGTGCTTTTCAGATTTCAAAATCTTCCTCGGCGGCTGGTAATATTACAGTCGTAACAATCAAAGGTTTCGGATTTGATTTCTTGCAAAGTAATATTTTAACTTTCCCTGATATTTGACCTTTCAAGTTTGCGTTAATAGCTAATGGTATAGGCACAGCACTTGGTAGCAAGGGTAAATCTATTACACGAGGATTCACATCGGTGTCTTCGGCTCTGCAGAGAATATACAATTCTGTCGAAGATAAATCCTCAGAAATATTTGTTACTATGATACGAATCATGTAATTGGGACCTAAACCAAGAACATTTGTTTCCAACGTGATAGGATTAGATCCTAGTGCTTGGTTTTCGCTTAAATGTTCGGATGCTTGTTTAGCCGTTGTCAAACGTAAACGAAGAAAGCCTTGCTGAAATGTGTTATGAATCTTCTTTGCCTCGGCTCTTTCTCTTATTGTTTGATCGACAAATAATCGCGTTTTCTTCGGTATCGAGAATTTCGATGTGTTACTCGATGATGAATTCAATATTGAATTATTCGTATTAAAATCAGCAGTGCGCTTTAAGATTTTCATGCATAAACCACCTCCAACAGTGACCATAGCTATTGTCCGTTCCTCTTGTCCCATCCGTCCGTACTACATTTGCAAAAAAAAGATTATATACGTTTATATTTTGTTACTTTTTAAATTTATGTAAATGTTGAATTAAGAGTACCTTAAGAGCGGATACAGGCTCCATAATTTTCACGGTATCGACGTGATGTTTTCCATCATAAATACGAATCCCATAGCCTACTGTGCTTACAGCTAACAAAGACAGCCCACTTTGCGGTACCGGTAAGCTAACTAGATCTAATATTATACCGGGAATATTGATATGCCACAATTTTATTCCCTGTAAAAAATTTATGTATCAGAAAGAAATTTAACATAAAAGTTTCAACAATTAAAATTTTTTGTCCAAGCGTACTGTTTTTGAAAGTCCCACTAGGGTACCATCCATAACAGCTACTGCTGCTCCTTGAGAAGTAAGAACGGCAATAGCTATCGCAGGTGCGGGTAACGTTTCCCAAAGTTTTAGAGAACTTCCTCTCCTAATCGTTCCTATTTTTCCATCTCTTCCAAGAATTATTATGCGACCATCACCCGTCCATAAGCCGCTACTGGCAAATGCTGCTGGTGGCCATTCCACTTTATGCTTATCCATAACTGAAAAAGCTCTGTATGCCAATTAAATAATATACGTACACAGAATATATATAAAATATTTGAATGAATTTTTTCTTAATTATATATAAAAATACCTGGGATCTAAGACAAGAACTTCACCAGTCTCGGTTCCTAATATGAGACAACTACTAGCAGGATCGTTCCACGAGTCTTTGCGAATGATCGCAATTGCCGTTAAAGCATTGGCTTTGACGAGCGGTATCCGTCTATATTGCTCTGCGAAACTCATGCGTAAGTTATTATCTAAAGAGAGAAACTTCAAAGTACGAGGAGAGAGAAATGCTGCACCAAGTTCTTTCAGTAACAACTCCAAATCATCCGCAAGTGTTAATACATTTAATTCTTCGTCCAACCCACATTTATGCCAAATCTGCGTTAAATTATTGAACGTCAGAATATGTACTATTTATGTCAGAGAATAGAAATATCATACACAAAATTGAGATAATCCTATATCGTTATTTATTTCTGTACCAATAAATTATAAGTACTTCTCGTTCTTTTGGATGAGCATCAATATGTGGCAGACAATATTTGAAGAACGGTCTCATATTTTTGAAAATATATACATTAGCTCCAGCTCCTACAGCAACTACAGATGACCGAGGTTCTCCATTTTCTGTATAAAAACCGACTATTCCACAGGGTGGTTCTACCATGTTATGTTCAGTTATCTGATCACCTCCTTTATACACTCGTATCTAAAAATAAAAGAGCAATGCATTTTTTTTTTTTTTTACAAATAAATAATAAAATACAAAATTATTTAAATTATATATTCATGAAAGAGAATGAACATTCCGTATTATTTACTGATTCAAATTTAATTTTATTTTTGAAACTTTTTAGTCATGTAGAATAGAAAATATTCTATTATAATTTACAGAAAAAAATAATTTTTTTTCTTTCTTTATTTGTTTTTTCTATATAAAATCCTAATTTTTATAAATTATTCTATTATAACATTATTAAGCTACATTATTTAAAAATATATTTGTACATGACTCTATTGTATTATTTTCTTGTCATAATTATACTTTTGTTGAATCGCTTCCAACTGGTCCTAGATCAGCACAAACAAGTCTAGCATCTCCATCACCGCTTATATCCAGCATATCAAGTCCACCTGGTAAAGAAAATAAACCAGCACTTGGTTCCCAAAGTGCTTCCAACCAACGACTCATCCCAAGTCCTCCGAGAGATTTATGATCAGCTCTAAGAAGAAATTCCAATAAACATAAGTGTATAACAAAAGCACTAAAAAATGATATCTTCGATATTTTTACATGTACACACAATCAATAAAAAAATGTTTTACCTTAAACCGTGCATGATTACAAATTTTTGTAAATTCTGTTTCTACACAAATAGTACACTTATTTACAGTATAATTATACTAAACTACATATCAGAGTTTTCCTATTTATGACATATCTGTAATATTTAACTATGTATACATATTGCACATTTTAAACCGAGAAAAGGACTTTTTAACTTTTTACATGTTTTATCAATTTTATAACTGGCACAATTTTATAATTTGATAAACTGACATTTCATAACTAGGAGCATTGCATTAAGAATGAGAATGACATTTACATGACAGAATGCCATGTGTTTTGTTTGTGTATTTGTTTCCATAGAAATCTTTTAACAAAAATGGCTCGTGAGCGGGAAATTTAACTACATTTCCTAAAAATTCTCTAAAAATTAAAAAAGAATCATTTAAATTTAGGTTGGTTGCCCTTTTCACAAATGAGTTTTTTTAAATTCCCGAAACCGAGGGAAAGTATGTAAAATCAGAGGAAAATCTATAATTATATAGCGAAATCTATAATTAGAACGCGAAAAAAGGGTAAAAGATAAAAAGATATAAAACATGTTATTAAAATTAATTTTTTAGCAAATTTATACGTAGCTTTTTTCCGACTATAA